AATTTTAAAACCGTTTGGCACTAAACACGCTGATTCTTTGTTCACTTCTTTTTACTGAAAAGTTATTTACCTGAAGCCCTAGTAGAGAAGGTTTGTGGCATGGGACATTAGGTGAACTACATCCTGCTCAGAGAAGAGTAATGAAATTATAACCTTACACAGAGCTGTCCACTCACTTCAGTATGCAAAGGGCAATTTAATTGCAGTATATAATAATCACTGGAGGGGTAATGTTACCTTTGTGAAGGATTCAGCTTTTTGTAAAAGCAGCAGCTGGAAGTGATTTTCAGGTGCAAAGCTGATTAAATAGACATGTGATTTAGCCAGCTGCCCGCTTCCTTATGTGACCTTTGGCAGGTTCCTTGAGATCAGGCCTATAAAAGAAGGGAGGCACGGCTGTACCAGTTGCTCATCTCCCAGAAGGGATTTCTCGAACCATCTGGGGTGCCTATCTACACTACCCACTAGGCAAACAGTTGGTTGCCTCCTGCAAATCTCAACCCTGAGCAGGGCTCCACCTGAATTAAGCAATGGGAAATACCAAAGATCTGAAGTTCTTCTACAGGCTTGTAGCCTCAGGTTAAACATTACCAGCACCTTCCTTGACTCGGATCCAAGGAAATCACCTAGTCTTTTTACAGATAAGACAGAGCCAAGGGACAAAGCAATGATACTGATAGAGCAGTTAAGCAGCCAGACCACTCAGAAACTGTGAGACTCCTTCAATGACATCCTCACTGGAATGGTTTCCAACACATGTATCTTACCTGTTGTTTACCTGAGCCACCCAGCTGTGGTCTACTTGTGTCCACACCACACACACACACTGCTCCTCCTGTCAGAGCTGGGGGTCTGCATCACAGAGAATGCAAGAGCACATGACCAACAGCATGGTGATAAAATGCCTTGCTGTGTCCAAGTCCCACTCTCAGCCCTGCCTTTGTATTTTAGCCACAGTTGCTGATGCCTCTTCTGGCTGCTCTTGGATGTCAAATGGCTGTGGTGACTGCCACTGCAGAACCTGCCTGATCTAAGGCAGCCTAAGGTCACTAATGGGTGGGAACTTCTAGCTTGCCTCAGGAAGGGGATGACACCCAAGCCAGGAGGAGCATGAGAAATGATCTGCAACAGGCACCAGACACACCACTAGCTCCACTGGTGAGAGCGCTGGTGCACACAGATTCCCTGATGGCTCAGCAATTGGGTGACTCAGTCTGCCTTTTAAAGGAAATAAAACCTCATAATTCAATCTGTGTGTGGATCTGTCTCTTCCTCTTTCATAGCTTTCACACTGAATTTTCAAATATCAGCAAAGACAGAGAAAAAAAAATCCATCATAACTGAGATCATAGGAAAAGGCAGCTGCGAAGAGAGAGAAGAGAGGAACTATGAGGTCTTTGACCAGCCATACTTTTTGCATTAAAGAAGTCATAAAGGTTTAAAGGTACTTATGTCTCAAAAACTATTTCTTATTCTGTGATGGAAAGTACTGTTGGATATATTGATATGATCTGTTTTCATCCATTTTCTCTGCCAAAGGTATTCTCTTTCTATTACAAAGAATTGGCACCTTCACCTCTACCTTACATGAAATAACTGTATTTTCAAATCTGGAAACAAATGCAAGGAAATTAATATTAATGCTTAATTCTTAATAATATTCATGTTGTACGTATATATTAGTCCACGTATCATTCAAACAAAATTGTAAATAATCAGACAGGGTTTTTTGGTCCTGTAACAAAATTATATAACAAAACCATTCATGAACAGACATTTGTACTTAAATTTAGTAGTCAATTTGTTAACTCATTCCTGCTAGTTGTAGTGGATCACCTGTATGTATAAAGATAGATAGATGTAAAATTATCTTGGAGCATATTATATGTGTGCATGGTTGCATTAATTAATCTTATCTGATAATCAGCAAGCTTCTTTCAGCTACTACAGCCAGGAGAGGAAATGCAGTGTCATAGCTTTGTTCTGATTAACTCACAAAATGTTTAGCACTTAAGGTTTGTGTTGCACTATCAGAGGACAGTTGTTTGTTTATTTCACTGAACAAAAAATGAGCTTAGAAAATGTATTACAATATTGTGTATGATCTTACGGAAAAGATGAGCATTGATTAACAAACAGTATATTTTCATGTTATATATGTTCTTTGCATTGTGTAACAGCTTAAGATTAATATGTTAATTCTGAATATTCTGTGTTCCATCTTATGGAAGTGTAATTACTGTATCCAAATCACAACCACCACCTCCCATGGAAGGGGTTCCTCCAGTCTAATTACACGTCACTTCCTTAGACTAAACCAGTACCCAGTGTCCCTTCACACCCACTGTGGCTCCCACAGCCACCCATATGGCACTACACCTCACTTCTTCCACCTTAGTCTATATACGCAACTCATACCCCATATTGCACCCCATGCCAAAGTGGGCTCTAGCACCCCACTTTAGCACAGGAGTGCCATCTCTCTCCCTCTGACTTTTTTTTCCTGCTTCCTATGCACATGCTGGGCTTCATAACACTTCAGGGGCTGAATTTCACCCAGCAAACAGGCTGAGCTTCCAGCTCATTGGAAATCCGTCTTGTTCATCTCATCTTCAACTGGCTGTGGCTTTTCCAGAAGAAAGCTGTTCCACCATTTCAGCTGGCTTCCTTCCAGCAGTGAGCTGTTCAGCTGCCAAGAACAGCGGGCGTGGAAAACATCAGCAAAATTAAGCGAAGGCATCAAACTTGATTCAAATTAGTTCTCCCTTGATGACTTGTAGTAACAGAATTCATATTCAGAGGCATCCTTAACCTAAAGTAAGAACAGTCACAAGCCCTGAGTGTTGAATATTCCAGCAGCAAAATGATGGTATTACAAGTCAGTAACACCTCAGCTAGATGTGCCATACTGACTACATAGCCCATAGTTGATATTGACAAGTATCTGGGCTGAGGCCTCCCAGGTCTCATGCCAGCCTAGATTTCTGCTCTGTCACTTATAAATGACCAAATTTAAAGGCTAGAAACAATTATTCTAATGATCAAATGACCTTCTACATGCACATACCATAGTATTTCAGCAAGACTCAAGTATTAGGGTCCTGGCCACCATTAAACTCTTAACCAACGTGTAATAGACCTGCAAATGCAGTTAGACCTATTAAACTTTCACATCATACAATACCTTATCATAGATGTTATTAATTGGCAACAGATACACAGTTGCCTGTGATAGACCTAAGACAAAGGTCTGAGAATGTATTTTTCTGTGTCATTTTAGTTTAAGCAGATGACTAAAGGAGCCAGATGGCAATCTCCTGTCACAGGTGTGCAGCACATAAGCAGCCTCTCAGCTGCTAAACTCCCTTCTCAACTTCTTTACCTTGGCCTAGAGTTCATGCCTGGGCACGTCTGTGCAAGACATGAGCTTCTTGTTTTGATTTTCCATGACTTGGCATCTCTCATGATTCTCATGAGTCTGTTTTCAGAGTTCTAGTGTGTGAGAGCAGTAGTAACAGGTTACTCATTAGAAACTCTCTTACTCATTAGAAAGTCTCTATAAGTGCCATGGATGCAAAGACATACTGAAAGATATACTTTGCAATTATGGAATTAATTTTCCTCTAGATGATAGAAAGATCAAGGTTTAAAAGTGTACAGGGCTTTTTTTGTAAAGCACTTTCTTGTTCTTAAGAGGTTCTCTGGGAGTTCATATTTGATTCTCTTGAACAAAATGTGGTGTACTGGAACTTGCTGAAAAATAAAAATGAATAAATTAAAGTTAATGCAAGAGAGTTAATAGCTACCTATTACCTATACAGCCGTATGGAATAAAAAAGGCTTTATCTGTTCCTCAAAAATTAATAACTTATTATTTTTATAAATTATCAGAACTGTGGAAAGGGGTTTTTCTTCTGTGACTCATTATTAGCTCATGAGCAATTTGAGAAGGAAATCCTCCTACGACAAAACAAGACAGGAACAATGCAGCAGCATATCTGTCATTAGCATAACAAAAAAGAAATATCTTAAGTACAAACTCAATTTAAAAAGCAAAATCAATTACATTGCACGGAGGAAATTTCTCCAGAAAGGGTCTCAAGTTTACAAGGCTGAAGCAGTTCTACACAGCAGAACTGACAATTCCTTGTAACGTGTCCCTATAATACGAGACACGCGTCGCAAAATAGGACCAGCTAAGAGCTCACCACTGCACAGCTCCAGACTGCCTGGATCTGATGTGTTAGCTTCGGACAACGCTCTCTCCCAGTTCTTTCCTTACCTCGGTACGCTGGAGTTACCAAAGGAGGTAAAAGCCCAGAGCAGACTCACTAGGGGCTCCTGAAAAGTTTCCTGCGCCCAGACTGATCCCCAGAGCGCCTGCTCCCTTTACCCTCCAGGCACCAGGCTCGTTTCAAGGGTGCCCGTGCGGAACCACCCGCTGCTCGGTGCACCCAGTGCAGTGCTGCGGGCTGCCCGCACGGGGCCCGCGAGGAGAGCTGCCGTACCCAGCACTCCGCGAGGAGCAGCAGCAGCCCCAGCGCCCACCCCGCTGTGCTGCTCTCCAAGAGCGCGACCACCCAGACGGCGCTTAGCGTGAGCCGGAGACGGGGCGGTAAAGGCTGCACCCGCCGAACGCTGCCTCAGCCCTTCCTCCGCCCTCAGGGATTTAAGAACTGAACCAGAGGGCACCGGGAAAGAGTATTTATTGTGTGCTCCCCCTCAGCCCCATCAGGAACTATCCCCTTAGCCACAGACCCGCCCCACAGCGGATCGAGGGGAGCCACCCCCCAGCCTCCCGCCTCAGGCCACCCTTTCCCGCCCGCCAACGGCCCGCCTCGCGCCGGCGGCCGGCGGCGCGAGAGTTGGGGGCTGGGGTGCAGTGGGAGGCCCCGCGCGGGCGGGAGCCCTGTCCCGCGCCCCGCCGCCGCGCGCCGCCAGCACGCGCGCTGATTGGCCTGCCGTGCGGCCGGGACTCCCCGGCGGGCCGCGCCTGATTGGCCGGATTGTAAAAGCGATGTCTGAGGGCGTCCTGGCGGGAATGGTACGGCCGAGCGCGCCCCCCGCCTGCTCCCCTCGCAGCCGAGGTGAGGGCGCGGAGCCCCTCCCGGCCGTGGGAGGGTGAGTCCCGAGGTGCCGCGCTCCGCTCGCCTCCCGCCGGGCTCGGGCGCACTGCCCCGGGGCGGGAGCGGCTCCTCTTAAGGGCCGCGCTAAAAGCGCCTTCTCGCTTTGTAGATGGAGGTGAGCGTCCTGGCTCTGCGGAACCTGGCGAGCGGCCGGCCGGGGCGGCGGGGCCGCGCTGAGGCTGCCGCCCAGAAGGTGAGCGGGCGCGGGGTGTTGGGGCAGCGGCGGCCGCGGTCTGTCCCTAGCGCTGCGGGGTCCTCGCACACGTTAGTCCGCCGGTGCCGGCCCGTGCGCAGCGCGGAGCTCCGGTGTGGGCGGCCGGTACTTCCGAGGACTAGGGCACCCCACCGGGCAGAGCGGGTTACGGCCGCGGCGCCACAGCCCCGTCCGTGTGTGCAGGGCCTCGACCCTCGGGGCTGGGAGGCGGGTCGGGCCTGGATCGTGCCCCTCACGCTCCTGCTGACCGCATTTGGGGTGTTGCCCACTGGACCAGCACACCTGGTCCTCCCTGCCGTGTTCTGCCTGCACAGCAGCATCTTACCTGTCGGCACTTGGAGCACAGAGGTGTCCGTTAAGATAAAAAGACAAGTCAGTAAAACAATCATGAGCCACCCCACCGTTGTCAGTAAGTGAAATGATTACACTCTGGCGTCATTCCCAGGGAAACCGTTTTTAGCTTTCACTCACTACTATGTGATCTCAACTATCCCAGTGGCTACTGCTGGGTAAGGTGGAGGAGGCTCTTCTACAGATTCACCCTTCAAAACCTGACCAAAACCAGGCCTGACATGATATGGGCATCATATGATCCTATTATTTAGTATTTGAGCATGCTGATGCACATCTACTATGCTTGCCTTCTGGTCTGTATCCGTACAGTGATGTTCTCAGGTCAAGAGACTGAGCAGTGCTACTCAGCAAGGAACAAGCTGGTTGTTCCCCTCCTACCTCAGCAGCCAGGAGACAGGTATCTAGCCTCGGGCATATTTTGCTCAGTAGCATCTCTTGAACTAGACCTGATTCATGACCTGCTGTCCATGCTCAATCAGGAATCATCCAAAGATCACATAATTCTTGTCAGATTCAGCTCCTATTATCTCAGAAATCTGAATTCCTGTTTACATACTAGGTTCATTAAGCCAGCCTGTCCTGTCCTCTTGTATTTGAAAGCCATCTCTGCTTGGATCAAGGTGAATCTCACACTTAAGCCAACTGGCCTTTGGGTTCTGTGGAACACAGCTGGGAGTTCACATAAAGCATTGCAGTTACTGAGAAGGGGTAGAAGCAATTCTTACTTTAGTAGGCAGTCATGACATTCAGGAAATAAGGATCTGCAAGGTTGATAGTAGACGTGTGCTTCTTTTGCAGTGCCACTACTTTTTTCATTGTGGTATTTGCACAAACATGAGCATTTGAGGTAGTGGAACAGCAAGTTGCTTTAGCAGCCCTCACTGCAGTTCCATTAGCACCAGGTATAGTGAACAGGAACTTGAGGGGAAGGTAGACTTTCTCTGTTACAGATTAAGTGTTGATTCACTGCCAAATGTAAACTTGCAAGAATATATTGAGTGCCAACACTATGTGAACATATATTCCAAGAAATACAGTGGCATCTAAGTTGACCCCTATTTATTACAGTGTAGTTACGTTACAACTGGCTGTTAATTGTAAAAGGAGGTATATTTATAACAACCTTTTGCGTAATTCGTAGGCGAATGTATGGAGAAGTGTTCTTCATCAGTGCTCAGAGCATAATGCTTTTGATGGGCCAAATTCATTTTCAGTTTGGATGCTACAGAACTGCTCCTAGTAAAAGCCAGCTTCAGTCTTTACTGGAACATGTATGCTTCCTAACTAGACTGTACCTGATAAGATGATATTTGGAATTGCTATTTAAGTATCTTTCAGCTGATGATAGCTGAATTGTTCCAAATAAAAGGCAAAACTTGGGAGAGTTCTTACAGCAAACCAATAGTAACTTAACGTTTTCTTTCAGGCTGTATTCCATTTTAGAATTGAATTTCTTGCTGCACGAAATAAAATACATAATAATATACAGCCTCGAAGGTGTCATGTTAGATTTTTAAAACTCATTTTGAAAAAAGGAAGTGGTAATCTTAGTCTGAGCAAGACTTGCTCAGTTTGAGACACCACCATAAAATACACAGCTAGACTGAAGAGCTAACAACTTCAAGCCTGATTTATAATTTAAAAGCAGTTAGCTGTGGTTCTAAAGGCTTCACTCACAATTCCAGCACGTTACAAGCTCTGCTAGCTTTCTGATGATAATCTGTCGGCTTCGCTTTTTCTCACTTCACTCAAGGTGCCTGCAATCATTTTAAGGGCCTAAATCTGGAAGCTACTGAATAATATTAGCTAGAGTTCAAAAAAAGCCCAGTGTCCTCTTTCTAGCATATTAAGGAGAATTAAGTTATAGATGTACTATCTAAGAACAGAACATTGATATCCCTGGGCAAAAAGATACAGTACAACTTTCTGTGTGGGCATTTATGGAAGCCCTGCTCTGTGCCACATTTAGAATACCTGGACCTCAATTTTTTATGCCCTGCAGAGAAAGCCAGTATAGCATCCTGTCTACTTTATTCCTGTAGTCTTCACAAGCCATTTGCACTAACAGGCTAGAGAGAAGTACTGTCACTTGTTGCTCAGAAATGGATGTCTTGACTCAAAGATATACTTGACGCTTTATTCAGCCAGTCCCTTGAGATCATTTGATCAGTAGTGATAATTCTTGCAGTAAGAGGAAGGTGTAAAACTGGACCCAAAGATGAAATATGAAGAAAGTTTGACTGCAGCTAGGGACTGGAGGGAGTTGGTCTTCGTTCAAAGTGACAAAAATCAGCTAATGAATTAGACTTTTCCTTCTAACACTTCTTAGCTACAGCCAGTAAATAGTTGCGGAGATTTTTCTTCGTTGTTTTGAACAGCAGATAGTGCAGATGCAAAGCTTTCATCACTTGCACATGAAGTTACAGCCACTTCAGTCTGACATTTTATGACAGTGTAAGCTGCATCCCTACCATGGCTTTTCACTGGGGACTTCTTAAGCAGAAGAACATGTTTTCTTGCTAAGTGTAACATGACCAATGCATTATCTCAGTTTCGATCTGATTTGGTGATTTATGTTTGTGGGCAACACTGTCTTGTAATAGCAGTCAGAGTTTAAAAGCCTAATAGGCCACAAGTTTGACTGGTTGACCTCAGGTTCTGTAATTCAGGGCAGTATCTCTTACACACTGCCTCAAATACAGTAGCTTGTTGACTATTTTACTCCTTCCAACAGAGGCAGAAGAGCCATGCTAAATATAGCTGCGAATGCCAAGGCATGAGTCACTACAATTACCTTCATAAGAACAATTAAATTGATTGTTGGACTGTTTCTTTCCTGCTGTGTCTAAAGAACTGGGTTTTTTTTATTAACAGGAAAACATATTTGATCGATCCAGGATGGCCCCAAAGACTCCCATTAAGAATGAACCAGTTGATTTATCAAAGCAAAAAGGCTGCACCCCGGAAAGAAATCCAATTACACCTGTTAAGCTCATTGACAGACCTCAGCCAGATCCCTGGACTCCCACTGCTAACCTGAAGATGCTTATTAGTGCTGCTAGCCCTGACATGAGGGACCGAGAAAAGAAGAAAGAGCTCTTCAGACCCATAGAAAACAGTGAGCAGAGTGGCACACCTGATTTGTTACAGGTGAGACTCAGAACACAATTACCTTATGTTCACTTAGGACTCAGGCCTTCCTTAAGTTGTGCCTCACTTTTATTCCAACTGGTCCTTTGTTTCCTATGGAAGACTGCAGAATTGTAGAACATTGCCAAGGACAGTTGCCTGCACAGCACTGGCTGAACAGCAGGACTTGCAAAGACTAGAAGTAATTGTTTTACTAGTAACTGACCTGAGACCCCTCAAAAGCCTGAATATCACTTAAGGGGGACAGTGAAAGAAGTAGAGCATAAAGAGGTCATTTTCCCCAACTTAAGTACTTCTGACACTTGTTTTTTGAACTGCATTAGAAATAAAATTGCCAGATCATTTTTAACCAGACAGGCAGGATTTTCAAGAGCGTGGGAGTGCATAGTTTTCAATGTATTTTTGAAATCTTCTACCATGTCCACAACAGACCCACAGGGTGATGAGCTAAAGCCTTTCTCTCTGCCTTTCCACCCCAGCCCCAAACTAGTAGTCAGCAAGCATGGTCAAGTGTTAATCAAATTTTTACTTGCCAAGACGCAGGCAATGTAGGGGCTGATCCCTGTCCTCACTTTAGGAAAGCTATCCGTGGAGAGGATGACATCAGATTGTAATAAGCATCATTAGTTTTCTTCCGTCAGACTTATTTTTGTTCCGACCACTGCTGTCCTTGTCCTGGATTGCTTCTTCTATAATATCCTTCTTCCGTGATTTAAGTCAGAGGAAGGTAGTTCTGGGGTCTTCCTGCTGAGAAGCATCATTTGATAGGTACGATTTTCCAGGACCTCCAGTGACAGTAGTCTGGAGAATTCTCCAACTTAGCCGTAAGAGAGCAAACAGTTCTAAAGGTAATTCCTAACATAGCTTCCAGTAAGTAAAAAACCAGCCAGTGTTAAAAGTTAGTTCATTACCACTGCAAGCCCACTACGGTCATACGGTATTTTTGAGGTGGCTACTGTGAAGAATTCAAATATTTCCTATTTAGTTAAACTTACACTTAATTTTCTCCACTTAACTTGCAAAAGAGTGTTACTGTAAGATACCACTCTTCCCATACCATATAAAACTCTTTAAGAATTCAATCAGAGCAACAGCCTGCCACAAGGTCACAACTGCCAAAGGACAGTTAAGATGTCATAAGCAAGGAAACATGGGTTTCAACAGCTGCCACCACTCTCAGCTTTATTTACCTGAGGACATGATTATTTCTTTCTCTCCTTTCTTGGACAGAGAGTCAAAACCCCAAGAGCTACCAGTGCAGAAAAAGCCTCCATCATTCTCATTTTGTAATAAATAAACATACCTCTTCTTGCCATCACAGTTTTGCTGGGGTCTTTTTCCCTGCAGGAACAGGCTATCCTACAGGGTTCACTTAAGCCAACAGCTTAACTGAGTTTGAGGTTCAGACCTTAAGGCACTTGATAGCGCCTTTTAGTGTCTTACCATCATGCCCAACACCCCACCCTCCAATTTCTTAAAGTTATAGAGGCACTGTAATGGGCAGTGGAATCTCTTGAAAGAAGTTTTGCAGGAACTCTTTGATGGCTTGTACATCTTCTGGTTTATTAGACCCAGAGGTGTTTGAGGGAATATTCCTCCTCCTCTCAAAAAGAAATATTCCTTCCAAGTAGGATCTTGCCCTCTGCTAGTCTGTGTTTGGTCTCACTGGTTGTTTTATTTTTTCCTGAAGCATAAGTGTTATTTTATGTTCTTACAGATAAGGTTTTCTGTAGATATCTTGTGTGATGAATTAAAAAGAGCTTGCAAGCAAAATGTGTCACCCAAGTGCTCTGTGCTTACAAGGTGTCCATGGCTTTTCCTTACTAGAAAGTCCGAGCTTAAATACTGCTAACATCTGAAATGTGCCTCGCTTGGCTATGCCTTGCTTCTAAAGCTCTGCACTAAAGGGTTAACATTTATTTTTTAACAGTATGATATGGTAGACGACAGCACGGTTGATGAATTTGAAAAGCAGAGGCCCAGCAGAAAACAGAAAAGCTTAGGACTCTTGTGCCAAAAATTTCTAGCTCGCTATCCAAGTTATCCGTTGTCAACAGAAAAAACTACTATTTCTTTGGATGAAGTGGCTTCAATTCTTGGTATGTATACCTGCAAAAATGGGAGAACTGAGCACCTGGGGTAGCCCAACAGGAGGGCCTTTAAAAGGTCATCCTTCTTACAGAGTACACGCAAGGGCTGCCTTTCCCTGGGTCTGGATGCTCTTCTAATCATACTAATAAAGAGTTGGAAATTACTAATATTGCTAAGTGTCTTTACTGCTTGATAACGCTACCATCTTAAAATCTCCTTTCTGACACTACTTTATACTAGATGGATCTATCCTCCAGCTCTTCACCAACCGTGCTGCTTGCTTAAATTCTCAATTTGCTGAACATGGAGTTAACGAGCTACACACCTTCTGAAAGAGGACTTATAAACAACATCTTTTGTCAGAATAGAATGTTTGGGGAAACAATTGCAAACTAGTTAGTGTAGGAAAGCAGTTGGCTTTACTGTCTGACTTCAGTAACATGCCTGACATTACATCTTCCAGGATCTCATGGTTCATCAAGGTTATCCTAGCTTTAAATGTTCTCTTGTGAGGGTAGGTTACCAGGAGACCTGCAAGAGTAGAATGAGAAAATGTGTTGTACGGAGGTGACAAGAAGGTATCAGGTAGCAAGTAGCCTATTTGCTGGGTCCCCTGTTAGGTTTGGTCTTAGCTAAAAGATTAATGAAATATCTAAGAGAAGCAATGAAATTTGGGAGCAAAGGCTAAGCCAAGTCACACAAATAAGAAGAAGATCCAGGTCTTTGGAGGGGTTGTCTCTTAGCTAAGCATGGCTTTATAAGATTGAACTTAAGCTAAATAAATATTTTATTTACATTTAGAACTCAGGTATTTACCAGAAAAGAGGAAGCAAAAATGAAATGTACCTGTTTTGGAAAGAAAGGGAGCAGAGGAATGATGTCCTCTGTGAGTCTGCCAAGGAAGTCCTTGAAATACTCATTTATTTGCCTTGGTAATAGGAAGCGGGAATAGGAGAGAATTCAAATGAAATAAGTAATTAAAGAAATTATTTTTTAAACAAATTGTTATTTTAGATTTTGTAGTTACTTCTTAATGTGTTTGCATTATGTGCCTGTGCTCCAACCTTGTACAGCTGAACATGAGTAGTGCTTTATTTTGTTTCTGAAGCGGCATTACTTTGCTTTCCTTAATACTAGAAACTTTGCTTTTAAAACCTACTGTTGTGTATTTTACCTCCCTGAAAGGGCTGTGCTTATTTTCCTCCCTTTGGTTTTCGCTTCCTTGCTTGCCCATATCCACTTGCTTCAGAGACCACAAATTTATTCACTGCTGATGTTGCTGCTCTCTGTGTGTAACAAATGATGGCTGTAATACATTTTTTTGCTACAAATTTATATTGCTGTGTTCACTAAAGACCTATGGAAAAGATCAGAAAGAGAATTATCTTCTGGTGCCTTACAGACACAGGATTTGTGTATCACTCTTGTTCTTCTGGAGTATGTTTTACTCCAAGATGTCCACACACTTAGAAATGCTCATGAATTGTTTATCCTAATACCTGTTTGAGGCTGGTAAGTATTATCTGGATTTTCCAGATGTGTAAACAGATGCATCAAGGCCTCACCTTCCACAGACAAGTCTTCCAAAACCTTTCCCCTGGGCTAGCACTTGGTCTGCTCAGCTTATGTTAACCATTATGGGATTTGTAGTACAGATGTTGCCACTAGTATATAGTGTACTGTTATATGTAACAGGCATGCTTCGAACAGTGCTAGACATGAGTACTCAGGACAGTGAGCAGAGCCACCAGGCTGTTCATATTCAGTTCCCAACCTTGCTCATGTCAGTCAGACTGAACCCAAGTTGGACGTATTTCATAGATTTCCTATTGGTGCAGACCCAGACAGCACTGAGGGCTTGTTTCTGCAGCATTTGGAAACAGTGAGTCTCACTCTCCACTGCTTTTCTCCTTGTGAAGCCTTTGAGCATCCTTTGCTTGGTATGTGCTTAGCAAGTAATTGTGCTATGCAAAATGCAAGTGGTTTCTTTAGGAGTGGACTTTTATATCTGCCCTGTGTCAGCACCAGGCTCAGATCCTTTCTTGCCCTGTTTCACACAGGCTTGTGTACAGGTATGTGTCTGAGCTCTGGAGCAATCTGACAGGAAGAGCCAGAGTGTTCAGGAAACCTTAGGACAATCTGGATAGGTCTGAGTGGGCCAGAAGAAAAGAAGATAGACAAAGAGCATAATACCATGGGGCTGGCCACACACAGGTCAGTTCTTAATTGTGCAGATAGGATGGATCTACTGTAATGTGTCCGAGTGAACAGTGAAAAATATACTGTGAACACTGAGTATTAGAGAACAGCCTGTTCTCTCTTGCACTTCTGCTGAAGAACACATTAAGACTACATGAGCACCTGTGTCTTTTTTATTCTCCCCCTAACCTCAAAACAGGAGTTGAACGGAGACGAATTTATGATATAGTGAATGTCCTGGAGTCATTGCACTTGGTTAGCCGTGTGGCCAAGAACCAGTACTGCTGGCATGGCCGGCACAACCTCAGTCAAACTCTGAAAACACTTCAGGAAGCAGGAGAGCTGCAGTATGGAGAGCTAATGACCGTCTTCCAGCACAAGGAGCAGGACCTGGAGTACAAATTTGGAGAACAGAAAAAGGAAACTATTGCAGATTCTCAAGACAGACCCTTAATGGACTTTTCAGAACCAGATTGCACCTCTGGTAAGATTAACTAATACTTGTCATGTGATACACAGACACAGGTCTTTTTCTTCAGTTTGCTATGTGACTTCTTCCCTTGCTTTGCTTTTAAATTAAATAATAAAAAATATTCTTTGCAAAAAGGTGCTGAATTCACCACGGAGGTGACAGAATTCTTCTGTCCCCACCTGTACATAGCAGTAAATGCTTTATCCTGACAGAAGGTGCCATCTTCCATTTGTTCACTGTTTGCATGCTGCCCACATAATACGTACTTACAAAGTCCCTTGGAGTCACAAAATTATAGCGGTGCAGAACAGTGTAACGTGGAGGCAGCTTTGGAATCTGACATTGTAAAAGCTATTTCTGCAACTTTTATCTTTTTATTGCCTTTCGAAGAGAGAATTCTGTCTGCACTACTGTTATTTGCTGCCTTTCAAAAGATTTCTGCTTCCTGATAAGGAAATGCTTTACCTGTTTTCTATGTGAGAAACTTACTTGCTAGTTTTCTGGCTATGATGGATGACGTATGCTAAGAGGCTTGGGTATTATTTGTAACACAGCATCTGCAAACAGCAGAAAGGACAAGTCGTTGCGGATTATGAGCCAAAAGTTTGTCATGCTGTTCCTTGTCTCCAAGACCAAGATAGTCACTCTGGACATCGCAGCAAAGATACTGATAGAAGAAACCCAGGACACAGTGGACCACAGCAAGTTTAAAAGTAAGCTGGCTGTTGAGAGGCAATCAATCAGTCTGTGAGCAAAGGAAATAGGGGCATGTTTGAACTGACACCAGTAGGTAGTGGCAAGAGCAGGTCAGGAATCTTTTGCCGAAATATGGTTAGGGTTTTTCTTATTTGTGAATGCTATTTTGTGAAATCAGAGCTTGGGGTGGGGAAGAGCCCATTTGACAATTACCTTCAAATTTTATCTTCAAAATAAAAATGTTGGTTTTGTTTGGATTTTTTTTTTTCATACTTTAACCCTATTTCTTGTGCTGTTCTAAATGATGTTTCAGGACTTGTTGAAATTAAACATGTTGTTTAATTTAACAGAGTTAAATTTTTTCTCTGCAGAAATGTGTTACTTCTTTTTATCCCAGAAATCTCTCACAGCTGGATGCCACTGTTTGCTTTTCAGTTAGTGAGGATTAGTACTTTGATCTCTTGGACAACATAGAAAAACTCAGCATTAGCAAATAATTATTCTAAAATAAAGACTTTTAAGTCTAAAGTACTTTTAAAACAAAGTACTTGCACTTCAGTCTTAAAATTCTACCTCCAAATACCGGGAGGGATGTGAACAGTTTAGCTGGACAACCTGTGGGTATCATATTCAGTTCAAACATGTTATTGGAGAGATTTTCTTTTTCCAAGAGTGTTACATTTCCAGATGATAAATATGTGTCCTTTTGTGATGAGCTTTGCACTCACGTGCCTCTTGCCCCAAGTGTTTGTCTTCACCACATGTGGAGATAGCTGCCTTTTCTGGGCAAGCTGATGCTGTAATCATTTGCTAACCCATTTGCTTAAACGTGAGCAACCAAGATGCATAAGCAACTAAAATCTGAAGAAGCGGTGACAAGCAGGTGGGAGCTGGCATGGCAGGCTTAAGTCTATCCCAGTTTGATTTTACCCACCTCATCTATGAAAGCTGTGGTGCTATTCTCAACAAAATTGCCATGTAAATATGTACTATATGTGCTGTAAAAGTAGCTATCCTGACTATTTCTGCCCTTTTCTGTTAGCAAAGGTACGAAGACTGTATGATATTGCCAATGTTCTCACCAGCCTAGGCTTGATCAAGAAAGTTCATGTCACAGAGGAAAGAGGACGCAAACCAGCCTTCAAGTGGATTGGGCCTGTGGAATTCCCTGGCAAGACCACTAACTTGGGTAGCTCGCATCTCTTTTCTTTTTAACAGACCCTTCCCAGGGTAAAAGGTTGTTTTCTGTTTGTAAAGAATGGCTCAGCATTCATTGTCCACTCTGGTGGTTAACTGCTGGCCTCTTCAGCATTTGCCCTTGCTAGACTTTAGGCCTAAGGGCTGTGGAGGGTTGTTGAAGAACACTGCCTTGCTGGTATAGTCACACCAACTTACGTAACTGTAAATTGTATAACAATGGCAGATGCCTACATCTCCAAATCTGAGTCCACAGCTTTTCTGGGTTGCAAAATATCAGTAATTCTGTTATGATTAGACAGTGAATTATTTTGTTTGTAAGGGGATTTACCAAGGTAGAGCAGGCCTGTTTCTTGCCTCTGTACCTTAGTACAGAAGGTTTGTTTGCGAATGAGGTGGTGGCTCAGAGCATATCTGTAAACTGCATGGCTAAAAGCCAGAGCAAAAGGAAGCCCTTTGGTAATAATATTTGGGTCAGGCCAGTGCCAGGACCAAGTAAAAGTAAAGGATAGTGTTTACACCATCTATTTCCTCCTGATTATGCACACTAGAGCATAGCTGCTGCTGCAGCTGCCATGGAGTGGAAAGAAAAGAAGCCCTTATCTTGTCTACCAGTGCATACTGAGCTTAGGTCTGCTTCCATGCTATGGGGTTTGAGATGGGCTAGAGGTTACCTCTTATGACCAAGTTTGGTAACATGGCAAAACCCTAAATGAGGAGCTGTATTCCATGAAGGACTGTTGTACAAAATCATGTTCCTACAGATATGCTCAGAGGGCATAGCCCGACATCTGATCCTCTGCCAGGGACACAAGGAGCCTGTGTCCCATATCAGAGCTGTGCCACTGGAAGACAAAGGTTTACACATCACACTTCATTTAACAGCACACGGTCTTGTGAAGAGACCAGAAGGAAGGTCAGTTCTGAGCCCAGCAGCCCACATCAAGAGAGGCAAGGTAATTACAAATGAAGCATGTTCTTTTGTATCACAGTGGATCTGCCCAAATGTGGGCCCGCCAATGTAAGGCATTTGATTGGGTGAGTCAGACTAATTAAATATGAGAATGCTTGGGAAGTGCTTATATTTCTACTGTTCATGTGATGAGACTTCTGTTTTGGACCCTTCAGTCATAGAATCATAGAATAGTTAGGGTTGGAAAGGACCTTAAGATCATCAAGTTCCAACCCCCCTACCATGGGCAGGGACACCTCGCCCTAAACCATATTACCCAAGGCCTCGTCCAACCTGGCCTTGAACACCGCCAGGGTTGGAGCATTCACAACCTCCCTGGGCAACCTATTCCAGTGCCTCACCATGCTAGCAGGAAAGAATTTCCTCCTTATATCCAATCTAAACTTCCCCTGTTTAAGTTTTAACCTATTACCCCTTGTCCTGTCACTACAGTCCCTAATGAAGAGTCCCTCCCCAGCATCCCTATAGGCCCCCTTCAGATACTGGAAGGCTGCTATGAGGTCTCCACGCAGCCTTCTCTTCTCCAGGCTGAACAGCCCCAACTTTCTCAGCCGATCTTCATATGGGAGGAGCTCCAGTCCCCTGATCATTCTCGTGGCCCTTCTCTGGACTTGTTCCAACAGTTCCATGTCCTTTTTATGTTGAGGACACCAGAACTGCATACAGTACTCCAGGTGAGGTCTCACGAGAGCAGAGTAAAGGGGCAGGATCACCTCCTTCGACCTGCTGGTCACGATCCTAGTCAAGTGCTTAAAGTTAGATGAGATTAATCTGGGCCATACTGCCTTAAATCTGCAGTTTGTTTTCTGGTAAATGTTTCTATTCTTCACTAACTGCAACTACACTACAGTTTCTTCTGTTAAAATTCGGTAGAGATAAAGAAAGATTCCTTAGCCACACAAAAGCTTGCTTTATTTTATGGTTTCTAATATAGTGGAATTTATTGTAACAATCTAATGGATAGCTGTTAAAAAGGCAAAGCAATTACAGGGATTTTTACAGTTCCTTCTTGTAGGAAATTGTGATATTGAGCACTTCTCCAGTGGGACTGAGTTCTGAGTGTCTTGCAGATTCTGGCTGTAGGTCATTAGTGGACGTTATAAAAATGTGCCAGGATAGAAAAATTATACCAATTATTTTATATAGCCAGTATCAAAATATGCTTGGTAAACAGATCTGTTGTTAATTGAATGTGCCTTTGTTTTTCAGCCTATATTATGAATTCAGATGAATATTGCTCCAAAATGATAAATCCAGCAGCTATCTGCAGGCAGAAAATAGAGGAAGATACTAGGTAGGCTGGTCTTAACTTCTGTCCAGTTTCAGATTTGTGCTTGTCATGTTTAGTTCAAGGCTAGATTCTATTAACGAGCCTGAGATAGAAAATTACTGGATGGTCTCCTTATTATGTTAATGCTAATAAGTCTCACCATGGCTTGCTTTTATTTTTTTTCATGGGCAATTTATACTTGTGCCGTTGTTGTCCTTCAGCTTTGGTGGTTCTTCATCTCATATCTGTTTATATAGGTCATCCCTGCCTCCTTTGCCCTGTTGTCTAGGTAGGCTGAGCAAATCATACTTCCCTGCAAAAGCCTTTCTGTCATATCAATGGGTCTTATCTACATCTAATTTGAATTCATTTCTGAATGATTGATTCTAGTGAAGTGCAACAGGAAGCATTATTGTTCTGCCAAAAACCTGATAAGTCTGCTTCTGTGTAATTAGAAATAATAAAAAGTGGCCCTTCTTGTATCTTGTAAACTGTGTAAAGTAGTGGTTGGGGGGGGGCAGAATTTTTCCACATTTATGTCCAACAATTTGCTTTCAAGGATAAAATGGGGGGGTAATTTTTGACTAAATGTTTTTCCTCTTTTCATTACTTTTTTTTTAGGAATGAAGCTGGTGCTGCAGAAACAATATTAAAATCAACAAGGAACCCAAGCGTAGCCTCACCCCTCTCCCTTCTTTCAGTTCCTGGGGACTCTGAATTTTGTGTTAACCCTTTGCCTCAGGCAGTTTTCCCTGTGGTTCAGACAGATGTGCCAAGCCTCTCACTGCCACATGGCATCAGCAGCCAAGCTCCACATCCTTCCACACTAGCAGCCTCCAAAACAGAAAATGGAAAACCTGCCTTGCTCCCTAACCAACCGTTCCTGTGCTTTCCATCTTCATCCCTTTTTATGTTGTGTGGTGGTCTTCAGGAAAATAACTTGAGGGAGAGCCTGCCCAGTGCAGGAGATGTGGGAAACAGGAATGCAGAAGCTCAGGCTGCCATACCTTCAGCTGTCTGCCAGAAACGCAGCTCCCACAAGTGTGCATCACCCTCTGCACCTGTAGATGATGAAGAGCCAGCTGCTAAAAAGCAGACCATGGAACAGAGGGATCTGCCTCTCTCACTTGTGGTATCCAAGGTAAATAAGTGAATTTCATTATTCTTTAGGCTTCCTGTTAGCAAGGAAAGACTTTTACCCAAGACAGTGTTTACAGAAGTGAAAATTCACTGCACCACTCGTGTTACAGTTACAAATTCTGCCTCCCACATGTCAGTAAAATGGTAAGAGGGCTGTATAGAAAGTATAGGCATTAACTGGGAGATTTTTCACACTACTGGGGAAACTGGAGTGTGATTCCTTTGGAGAGGGATGTGATGCTCATCTGTTCTTTGGAATCAGTGTCCTGATCATTGTCTTCAACAAAGCAACCTGCCAGTGGGGAGGGAATTAACGTGACTTGTTCCTCATCTTCGCCTTGAGCTTTCCCAGTTAGCAGCAGCAGCATTGCTTACACCACTGAGCAAATGTGGTTTGTACTTCCCCACTACTCTCCAGCATGAGTCCCCCTGTCTCAAGCCATGTTGCCCACAGCAGGTGTGTTGGAGAAGGATGATGGTAAAAGGTAAAGTGCAGCTATCTCAGGGGTCTCCTAACTGCTCAACAATCGGGGTCAGGCTCAAGATCATATGAGTGTTTGAATATAAGCCAATTGAAACAGGTGGTTTTCCGTATCAACAAAAAATTAATCCCCAAGCTCAGGTATCTCTTATCCAGTGTCTTCAAGTACTGAAAGTGAACTACAGCACAGGGCACAGGGCTTGGGCATCGCTAATAGGGTTCTTCAAACCCTCAAACAAAGTTTATTAACATGGTGACTTCTTAATCAGTTTTGTGCTGCTCCTTTGCACAGATGCATGTTTTACTCTGTAGCTGAGGAAGGTGCATGAGAGGTATTGCTCTGTGTTATTTCAGTTTGGACTCTTTGTTTCCTCTTTTGTTTTTGCTTAGAAGCCTTTAGAGTCACCCAAGGCTGAATCTACCCCAAGAAGTGGCTGTACCTCTGCTGTACATCTAGAAGCTTTTCGTCTTGACCTCACAAGTCCTGCTGCTCCAGAGGCTTCAAACAAGGAGCCTAATAAGCCGTTAGATTCTCAGGAGCAACAAAAAGGGTCTCAGAATAAAGACCCTGATGAACCCTCTCCAGGAAAAGCGCACATCTCTACGGAAAGCACCAATCAACCTTTCCTACCACAGTATCTCTATGTTCAATCTATTCCTGGTAAGGACAGCCATGAGATCCAGAGGCACCCACACTTCTGCATCTCTTCACTGAGCAAATAGGGAGGCCTACAGATAGGTGAATAAGTCTGTATTTGGCAGGAAAAGCCTGTCGTCAGTTCTCTGTAGTAGTTTAATAGCTCTGGATTCTCTTGACTTCAGATGAACTGTTGTTTATTTGAAAATACAGTCATTTTTCTGAAGGACCCGAACATTAATAGCAATGAATAGTGTGGGGTTTGCATGGTCGAATTATGCGCAGCAGAAAAAAGACACTTATCCAGCATTCAAACCCCAGAGGAGCTGGAAATCTGTGTTTGGCAATAGGGTGGCCAGACTAGTGCAACAGCATCTCCCTGAGTGAGTGAATTTAGTCAGCTATGAACTTTGTACTGTCTTGTAACGTGCCTCACTGGCATAACCCCACAAAACCTGAGGCACTGGGAGTGTAGCCATGTCTACCTGTAGGACATGGGAGGGATGGAGAGGAAGCAGCTGAAAATACTACAGGAGGATATCATGTTCACCATTTTTTGTCCTGTGTTTGTGTGGAGTGGAAGACTGGTTTGTGAGAACAGGAAACGTGGTAGATATCCATGACTACTGCTTTAGTATTTGATTAATTTCTGGCACAGTTGGGTCTATGGGATTTCACTTATAAGATGGAGACGCTCAGTTTGCAAATGTTTAGCCGGGTGTTTTGGGAGGTCAAACAAAAATAGGGAACCAGAGCAGCTTCTGTTTCAAAACAGTATTTCAGCTCTTGTCAGGAAAATAAGCATCTTTGGGGTGTATGTTTGAGCTTGTTTTGTGTTTGGGGTTTTTTTCTCATTTAAAGCAGCATATATATTTTCATATAGCAGAGGATAAGTTTCGCATTAGTGAAAAAAAAAGAGATTTTTAGGCAAGCTGTTTCTTGCTATTGAAGTTAGAAGCAGAAAACCGGAAGGTGTGTGGTTGGTGTTTAATATGAGCAAACTAAATGGATGTATATACAGTGAACAGGCAGTAGGGGGGGAGATGGAGATAAGGAAAGGGAGCTTGACAGAAGAGACACAGATTTGTGACAGTTTTCTTGCTGCATTTTTACTGTTTTTGTCAGAGTTTACTTCCAGGGCAGCCTTTCTCTTTGTTGTTGGACCTCTTCCCTGTTCTAGTTTAAGCTAAGTCTAGTTATAGGTTAAGTCTAATTTGTCAGTTGTATTAATGCTTTGCTTTTTCTGTCTTTGGTTTAGGATTGAGCAGTTTTAATTTCCTGCTCCCTGCAAACCAAGCCCCTGGTGCCATCAATCTCGCTGCAAACCAGTTACCTTCTCTGAGCGTCCCCTGTGTCATGCTGCCATCAGCAGCCTTGGCTTCCTTCCCTCTTGTTTGTTCTCCCACAATCACCAGTCCTCTTCCCACAGTTCCCGATGCCTCCTTTTCAGCTGCCACCTCCATGAGTTTCAGCACGTCCAGCCTGGCATCAACAGCACCTGTTTTCATAGGCACCACGGCAGTGGTCACCCCAAAGGTCTCACCTGCGCCTTCAATGGATCCTCAGCAACCAGCTCACCCTGCTCAGCACCTGAGTCCTGCGCTCCCAAGATCTTGTGGTGCTGTTAAACTGGACTCCCATGTGTGTATGGGGCATCCAGTGAACCTTCTGAAGCTGCAGCAGGTAAGTGGGAAAGGTGGTTGGTTGACAGTGAAACACCACGCCAGGTCACTGGGCCTGAAGGCACCTTGTGCTGCAGGCTGATGCCAGTGTGTCATGAAAGTCGATCTTTAAAAACCTTACAGGAATAGAGAGAAAAAAAAATGGTTACAGTACAGGGTTTTGGTTTTTTCCCCCATAAATGCAGGTAAGTATTTTTTCTCCATTTCACACTATCTTGTGTTGTGCAATAGCCACAGAAACACATTAGGACAGGAGGATTGTTTGTCAGCTGGCTGCAACACCTCTCTGGTGGTAGTGTCCTGGGGTACCTCCTCACCCCTGTTCTGATCTCTCTTCACTAAATAATGGAAAAGTAGTAGCAGTATCAGAACTGGGGAGGGGGTGGGGGGGGGGAATTCTTTTTGTAGGTTTTGTTGATCTTTTTTATAAAGATATTTTTTTTTAATCTGCCACAGAAACAGACTTTTTGAGTAAAAAAGATGAGAAATTCAAAAGTGAAGAAGGACCCATTGATCTGAAGTACAATGAGTGACATAAAGCAGTCTTGTCACACATACTAGCATTAGAGGTTACAGTAGAGTGGCACTTGAAAAACAAGTGGTCAGGGTTTAGAAGACTTAATTTTAGACCTATTTTGATGTTAACAAACAACTAAAGTGAGTAAAACATCAAGGAAGAGAAAGCCATTTAAGCTCAAGGGCAAGACTGGCATAAGAATGAACGAATATCAACTAGGCATGAATACATTTAAGTTGGAAATGGGATAGAAGCTATCAGCTTCCAACATTGATGTGCTGGCAGACAGTTCCAGAACAAAAAGCAGGGGCAAAGCCTGTGGAGCTTTTGAAAGGATGTCTGAAGTCATTCCCTATAGTAGCAGGGTATGGAGGTGGACATCTACAAGCTGCCTTCTTTTTGCATGCTTGCATGTAGGCTTTGAGAAAACCCTACTGAATCCCTTTGGTTTTGTTTAACAACTAGCCTTCATCAGCTCCCCTCACTCCCAAGAACATTCGTCCTGTTCATCATGAGGCATTTTTCAAAACTCCTGGAAGTCTTGGAGACCCTGTTGCATGGAAGAAAAATGAAGGCAACCAGACCAGAAATGCCAGCTCTGTGCAGAGGAGACTGGAAATCTCTAGTTCCAGCCCTGACTAACTCCACTCATTGCAAAGAGTGGGCAGATTGTCCTGGGACTCTGTATCTATTACAAGAGATCAAGCTCTTGACAAGAGGAGTGTGTTAAAATGTCATCCCTTTTGGTATGCTTCCCCATTATCTATTCACGCACCGGTTCTGTTAGCCACCTTCTTCACAAATCATCCTTGGTACTGAAACCCTTTTACTGAGTTTTTCCTTCAGTACTGACTTGAATTCAGATGTTTCACATGCCCTTGTGGGCATCAAACTGTATTTGTGGTTTTAATTTGGGAAACTTTATTGCTGTCAGGAGATGCAAACAGATTTCCTTGGCATCCCCAGGGGTTCTTTATTCATGGTTTGAAGTGAGATGTCTAGCACTTATCTGGGGTAAGCATTTTTTTTTTTTTTTTTGCATGTTCTCTACTTACCCTGAGTAAATCTGTGGTAAAAGTGATAAAGTTCTGCAGTTGTGAGAGCAACTGCTTCCTCAGTTCCAATCTGTCAAATCCTGCCTCCGCAGTGCAGCCTCTTGCTATTTATTTTGTACATTGGAGTGGGATTTAGTGGAAAAAAGTCTTTTTTTTTCAGGTTCAGAATAACAGATTTTCTCAGGGTAGGATTACTTGAATGTCAGTTGGTTGGTGTACAATTTGCCCAGCACTTGTGGTTAGAAAAACCTAATAATAACACAGTATGGTTGAATGTATACATGTGAAAAAATATTAAGACCAAAATAACTGTGAATGTTAACATGTTTATATTTGTGTTAATGAACTGTAGTAGTCCTTAGGTTTTGGTTTTTGGTTCTTTTTTCTTCTACTCTGAGCAAAATGTACAAGTTAAATGTAAAAAATACAAAACCTGATTCCTTAATTACATTTGACATTGACAAGCCACTGAGAGGGCTGTGCTAAGATTTCATCTCCCGTTTAAATATATAGTCTAGATTTTATGACCAGGAAACACTGGTAAATCATTAACCACATGATTAGATTCAGTCTAACCTGAGTCTGCTTAAGTGCCTACTTAGTTGTTTACTTAAGTCTACTTAAGGGGTATGTACTTCAGTGCCTAACACCTCACTTACAGAAATTTTGTAACTAGTTACTAGTGTATTTGAGCATACTTGGAAGACAAGGGAGATCTTATTTTTTGGCACGTATTTATTTAAACCATAAAAAGGAACTGAAAAGAGCAGGAATCTTGAATTTGGGAAATGATAAAAAAAGCCATCTGTATTCCTAAACAGAAAATAAAGAGGAAGAAACATCTCTCAGCCAATATTCAGAGTCATCAAATAATGGATGGTGCTATTAATCATTTTAAGAGTAATGCTCTTATTCTTGGGTATGTTTTCACTCATGTAGAAATCCATAGTTTGTGCAGTTTCTTGTTTTTAAAAGACAAGAAGTGTTGCTGTTGACGTCATGTTTCTCTGGAATTAGCAAACAGAAGGCCAGCATTATCAACTCTTCTCGGTACTGGTACTGGTTTTCCAAGGGTAGATACACTGTTGGATGTGCTACTTTGTTGGTCAAGGGAGACTGAGACTTTGGGGGTTTGATGAGGCTTTTTATTTTTATAAGGAAATGTATTATGAAAATGGAATTTAAGAAAGAATTTTAGTGAAGCTGGAAGTTTGAGTGATGTGGCCTTATCTTAGAATAGACCAATAACAGCCTTTTAGGGAGGGCTAGTTAGCCCTCATTGAAAGAAAATCTATAGTAGAGTTATCATAGGAAATTTCAGGGGTGGTAAAGAGAAGTCTTCAGACTGCTAAATTTAAGGGGTTTATTATTGGTTGGTTGGGTTTTTTTTTTAATTACACTACAGTTACGAAAGTTTACAGTTTTTGCTTTGGAATTATTTCTTCTTATACACCCACTTCAGTTAATTTCACTTTGAAAAGCAGTGTGTAATTGGCACGGCGCTGCCCCTACATTTGTGTTGCTGTTGGGGCTGGAAACAGGCTGCTAGGGTTCAGTATGACATGGTGGATGTAGATTCTCCAAACCTTGTCTTTCTAGTACAGTGCAGCCTTTTAGTGAAATAGCAGCTGGGAGCAGAGGGGAGGATTAGAGCTAATATTGGCTCTTCGCTCCAGTTGAAGCATCATTGCAAAAATCATCTTTGTCAGTGACGTTACTCTGTGCCATAACTAACCTAACTATACTTGAAAATGCAGGGACTGAAAATGGATCTTCAGTTTCCAATTTCTGCTTCCATTTTTGAGTTTCCATAGGTAGAGCAGGTCTGGAAATGAGGTTCAACTCCCTCACAATCAAAACTGTTCTGTGGCTCATGGTTGCTAAAGCAGTTTTGGGCCTGGGAGAAGAAGGGGGATGATACTCTGTTTTGTTTTCGTCAATGCAAAATTGTCATTAAGTAGGAACAGGACCACCAAAGTAGTTGGGCAGCAAAGGGATCAATGCTGCTTGCAATACTTAAGCTGCTGAACTAGACTGATGAGGGGGAAAAGTTGGTTGTCAGAGGGAATGAGTTTATCTTTCCCACCTTCACTGAAAGCTAAGAAGAAAACTAAACTAGGAACAGCTCTTCAGGAAGTTAGATCTGGAAAAGCAGAATTTGTATTTGCACTGAAGCAAAGTGCATACCCAGGATGTTCTGCAGGGTTTGCGAAGCCTTTCTGTCCCAAGACAGTTTGCTGAGGAGGGTGAGCGTATAACTTATACTTGAATCTACCTGCCACGTTTACATTTCTGATTGTCTTGTAAATTGGTGCTATTTCTGTATTTAAGAAGCTGTATTTTTAATGTAAAGCTGCTTCCAGTTTGTATCTTTGCACTGCTAGTTTAATATAGGTATTAATTTTATTGCTGTTTATAACTGTTCTTCAGTGATTAGATGTCTTGCTTTTCTTCCTCTCCAGCCATCTTTTTAGCTGTCCACATATAGCTTTACTCCAGTCACACTGTTGGGTTGGATATTTTTTTATACTATCTTTTAGCAAAATATTAAACAAATTTGGAATAAAAAACCGAGGCTGAGACTGTGATTTCAGTATGCATTTTAGGATTTTCAGTATGGCCCTTGAAAAGAAGCATCCATCCACTGCGTGTCCAGCTGAGCAGTCTCTGTTGGATGTGAGTAGTAGGGAGGTGGAACAGCTAGCAGCTCTTGTGTTTGGCTTTTTTGTGCAATGCAGGCACAATTCCCACTCCAGTTACTGCAGACACTAGGACCAGTGCTATGCAAGCTGGTTCTTAAAAGCCCTGGAGCTGTCCAGAGGAATGCCCAGTGGCCCTGGCCCAAAACCGTGTGAGGTGGTCCCCAGTACCACCACCATGGGGGCCCATTTCACCACCACTCTGGGGTCCAACCACCACCGTGGGGCCTGTCCTGGACATCCTATAGCTGTCCCACAGCCGGGCTCTCCACATGATGGCAGCAATGCGTGCCTGATACCCAAGAGCAAAGCAGGCCCTGATGCAGAGGCCAGTTTCCCATGGGTGGAACCTGACAGTTGCTTGTACATGCTATTGACCACCAACCAGTCATAAAATAAGTGGAGGATGCAGCCATAGCCCTGCTTCCCTTTCACCCGATCATGCACCCACACATAAGACAGCTTGACCCAAACCCACGTTTGCTCCTGTTAATAGCAGGTTCACTATTGATTTTAGCAAGCCCAGTATTACCCCCTTCCCCCCCGCCCCAGTAATTAAAGAATTAATGTCCCCTGGCTGCAAAATGCCTGTGAGTTGCAGCTGGCCAGGTTCATCAAAACTCACTTCTAAAACGGTAGCTCACTCGGTATTGTTTAGGGAGTTGCTAATCTGCTACTCCACCAATACTAACTTCCTTTTCAACTGACAGAGGAAGGATGGTTAATAAATATGGTATAAGAAGCACTAACAAACACTAACCCTGCCCCAGCCCCCCTGGCAGGACCACGACCATCATTTCCCTAAGGAGGAGCAGGGCTGTAGCTTCCAGCAGTTCTCATCCTCAATGGCACACTTAAAACTCCGCCTTTTGAAGTAAATAATTAGAAAGGAGCATCCAACTCCCTCTGCATTTAGTTCTGCCTGTAAAAAGGGAAAGTTAAAAGCAGTGCCATTGTGGATCAACATCTTAATGCTCCACAGCCTGGGCAGGGCAGCCTAGAGCCAGCTGGGAGACAGAAATTGCCCCTGACACAGGAAGGTTTTGAGCACTGCCAGCACAGCTGGTCAGGGGCAGCAGAAAGGGAAGACTGATGGGCAGAAAAGAGCCTGCTTCTGCCATGTCCAGGGAAGCAGGTCTTGATGAGTGTTGTGGTTTAAGCCCAGCCAGCAACCCCGAACCACACAGCCGCTCTCACTCCCCCTCCTTCCTCCCCCTGCTCCAGGAGGGATGGGGAGGAGAATCGAAAGAATGTAACTCCCACAGGTTGAGATAAGAACAGCCCAGTAACTAAGGTATAACACAAACCACTGCTGCTACCACCAATAATAATAAGGGAAATAACAAGGGGAGAGAATACAACCGCTCACCACCCGCCGACAGTTACCCAGCCGCACCCTGTCAGTGATCTCCCCCTTCCGGGTAACTCTTCCCAGTTTATACAGTGGGCATGATGTGCTGTGCTATGGAATACCTCTTTGGTCAGTTTGGGTTAGGTGTCCTGTCTCTGCTTCCTCCCGGCTTCCCCTCCCTGGCAGAGCATGAGACTCACAATGTCCTTGGTCAGAGTAAACATTACTGAGCAGCAACTAAAAACATCGGTGTTATCAGTGCTGTTCCCAGGCCAAAAGTCAAACCCACAGCACTGCACCAGCTACTAAGAAGGAGAAAAATGACTGCTAGTGCTGAACCCAGGACAATGAGCCATCTTGGTCAATAAGGAGGGTTTCCTGAGAGGTGCTTGGGTCACAGTAATGCTTTTTCCTTCCATCCCAGAGAGCTCCTGAGCATGGCTCCATGGCCCGCTTAATAACTTAAAGTTGAACAGCTCAGGATGTAAAGGGGTGAAAAGAAAGGTATCTTTTTTGCCTTATCACAGATATGCAAATGTAAGTTGTGTCGACTGTGGTACTCTGAGAAGATCCATGTGGTCAGTGAGCATCAACATCCAGATTCTTTCCAAATTCATTTATTCACCAGAATTGTGATGAGAATTGAAGGTATTTTCAAGTGCTTTCTCCAAGGCCCCCTGGAGTGATGAAATTAATCCTAACGGTATCAGTCAGCACTGACTTAAGGTCCAAGAGCCTAAAGCCTTCCCCTGATCCCCTCAGAGGCCACAGCGACTTTGTTGATGAATGGGCAAAAGGCTCTATTGCAAAATGGTGTGACCTCCAGGTCTGGTATCATGGGACCTCCATGGGGACAAAACGGCCTGATTCAGTCAGAACTCCTCCATTTTATTGCATTTTCCAGATAAAGAAAGTTCTCATTTCCACCCTGAACGTGAGATGCCAGACTTCACGCCTCTCCACCGTGTTTAGTTGGCTATCTCTCCCCCTGTGTGTGACACCAGTGTGGTTTCATTGATGTCATGCCATATTTGGGTGGGAGGGCAGCATGAGACTGCTTTATTTTTTCCCAACAGTTGCTTTTTTGTTTGAAAACTGACAGCTGTGAACCAGCAGTTTGCAGCCTTACCCCCAGGATGTGGTGTGGGAGTGGAGGCGCTGAGAGGAAACCAAGCAAATCTGCAATATGTATATGCATGTGTGTAATACATGCACCTTGGCATGCGACTCTAACAACACCTGAAATAGGCCCATCTGGAACAGGTTCAATCTTTTGGGAAGGAAAGAGAAACCATTTAAGCCTAGAAAATTAGAGGTAGATAACAAAAATTTCACTCCAGAACAAAAAATTGCGCATAAGGAAACATCTCCCTTACTTTGCTAGCCCATTCTTCCGTGCTGAGAAAAGCGCTTTGCCTCGTCACACTCTCTGCATCTCACTGACAGCCAGCCAACATGCAATTTAATCACCCTATAACCCTTTGAAATCTTGATTAGCTGGTAACAATTAGTTCCGTGCCTGAAATGCACCAGGAATTTAGTGAACCTAAGGTAGAAGATGTTAGGGAAGAGGTGGCTGGAGCTCTGCTCTAAGGCTCGACTGGAGACATGACAAAACCAGTCACTAGCACCTCACCTACATTTGGGTTCCTGTCATCACTGAAACTATGATGTTTGGAAGATGTTGGTGAAAGATGTCTCTGCAGACACTCTAGTCCTAAGTGGCAAATACTCAAACATTTGAGCTCCTGTCTTCCTTTACATTAACACAATGCCAGCGGCTCCAGTGGACTCACTCTAGATTTACACAAGCTTGAAGGGGACGAGGGTCTGTCTC